TGGGTGGTGGGTGGAGGGAGGGAGGGGCGGTGGAAGTTTCGGTCCTAGAAAAACGAGGATATCTGAGATGTTCGGGAGTGGAATGCCTCATCCTGGGAGCAGATGCGGTGGAGGCGAAGGAATTGGGAATAGGGGATGGCATTTTTTCAGGAAGGTGGGTGGGAGGAGGTGTATTCTAGGTAGCTGTGGGAGTCGGTGGGCTTGAAATGGATATCGGTTTCCAGGTGGTTGCCAGACATGGAAACAGAGAGGTCCAGGAAGGAGAGAGAGGTATCAGATGGTCCAGGTGAACTTAAGGTTGGGGTGGAAGGTGTTGGTGAAGTGGATGAACTGTTCGAGCTCCTCGTGGGAGCACGAGGCGGCGCCGATTACAGTCATCAATGTAAAGGAGGAAGAGGTGGGGTTTAGGGCCAGTGTAGCTACGGAAGAGAGATTGTTCCTCGTAACCTACAAAGAGGCAGGCATAGCTTGAGCCCATGCGGGTACCCATGGCCACCCCCTTTGTCTGTAGGAAGTGGGAGTAATTGAAAGAGAAGTTGTTGAGGGTGAGGACGAGTTCGGCTAAGTGGATGAGGGTGTCGGTGGAGGGGAACTAGTCGGGCCTGTGGGACAGGAAGAAGCAGAGGGCCTTTAGGCCATCTGCATGGGGAATGCAGGTGTATAGGGACTGGATGTCCATCATAAAGATGAGGTGTTGGGGACCAGGGAATTGGAAGTTTTGGAGGAGGTGGAGGGCATGAATGGTGTCACGGACATAGATAGGGAGTTCTTGGACCAAGAGGGAGAAAATGGAGTCAAGATAGGTGGAGAGAAGTTCGGTGGGGCAGGAGCAGGCGGAGACAATGGGTTGACCAGGGTACTCAGGTTTGTGGATTTTGGGATAGGAGATAGAAGGGGTTGGGGAACAATGAGGTTGGAGGCTGTGGGTGGGAGGTCACCTGAGGTGATGAGGTTGTGGATGGTTTGGGAAATGATGGTTTGGTGGTCAGGGGTGGGATCATGATCAAGGGGGCGGTAGGAGGTGGTGTTGGAGAGTTGGTGCCTAGCCTCAGCGATGTAGAGGTCAGTGCGCCATGCTACAACTGCGCCTCCCTTGTCCACGGGTTTTAAGGTGAGGTTGGGGTTGGAGCAGAGGGCTGCACGTTCCATGGGGGAGAGGTTAGAGTGGGTGAGAGGGGTGGAGAGGTTGAGGCAATTGATGTCACGACGGCAGTTGGTGATGAAGAGGTCAAGGGAGGGTAGGGAGCCTTGGGGGGTGGTGTTGAGGAGGAGGGGGTGTATTGGAGGCGGAAGAAGGGGTCAGTAGAGGGAGGGTTAGGCTCACGGTTAAAGAAGTAAGTGTGGAGGCGGAGGTGGCGGAAAAACTGTTCAACATCCAAGCGTGAGTTCGTCCACTTCAACACCTTCCACCCCAACCTTAAGTTCACCTGGACCATCTCTGATACCTCTCTCTCCTTCCTGGACCCCTCTGTTTCCATGTCTGGCAACCACCTGGAAACCGATATCCATTTCAAGCCCACCTCCTCCCACCCACCTTCCTGAAAAAATGCCATCCCCTATTCCCAATTCCTTTGCCTCCGCCACATCTGCTCCCAGGCTGAGGCATTCCACTCCCGAACATCCTTGTTTTTCAAGGACTGCAACTCCCCACCAACACCACCACCCCCCCCAACCTCTGTGGTCGAGAACGCCCTCCACTGTGTCTCCCGCATTTCCCGCAACTCATCCCTCACACCCCCTCCCCGCAATAACAACCAAAACAGAATCCCCCTCGTCCTCACGTACCACCCCACCAACCTCCGGATCCAATGCATCATCCTCCGACACTTCCGCCATCTGCAATCCGACACCACCACCAAAGACATTTTTCCCTCCCCACCCTTATCTGCTTTCTGGAGGGACCACTGTCTCTGGGACTCCCTTGTCTGTTCCACATTCCCCTCCAGCCCCACTGCACCTGGCACTTTTCCTTGCCACCGCAGGAAGTGCTACACCTCCCCCCTTCCCCTCATCCCAGGCCCCAAGAAGACTTTCCACGTCAAGCAGATGTTCACCTGCACATCTGCTAGTGAGGTATACTGTATCTGCTGTTCCCGTTGTGGCCTCCTCTACATCGGGGAAACCAAGTGGAGGCTTGGGGACCGCTTTGCAGAACACCTATGCTTGGTTCGCACTAAACAACTGCACCTCCCAGTCGCGAACCATTTCAACTCCCCCTCCCATTCCTCAGACGACACGTCCATCCTGGGCCTCCTGCAGTGCCACAGCGATGCCACCCGAAGGTTGCAGGAACAGCAACTCATATTCCGCTTGGGAACCCTGCAGCCCAATTGTATCAATGTGGACTTCACAAGCTTCAAAATCTCCCCTCCCCCTACCTCATCCCAAAACCAGCCCAGCTCGTCCCCGCCTCCCTAACCTGTCCTTCCTCCCACCTATCCCCTCCTACCTCAAGCCCCACCCCCATCTCCTACCCACTAACCTCATCCTGCCCCCTTGACCTGACCGTCCTCCCTGGACTGACCTATCCCCTCCCTACCTCCCCACCTACACTCACCTTTACTGGCTCCATTCCCACTTCTTTGACCTGTCTGTCTCCTCTCCACCTGTCTTCTGTATCCATCTTCTATCCACCTCCTCCTCTCTCCCTATTTATTTCAGAACCCCCTTCCCTTCCCCCATTTCTGAAGAAGGGTCTAGGCCCGAAACGTCAGCTTTCCTGCTCCTCTGATGCTGCTTGGCCTGCTGTGTTCATCCAGCTCTACACCTTGTTATCTCAATGTTTCTTCTGTCGTCCCCCATGAGTGTTTGAGGTAGTCTGAAGGAAGTTTGTTCTGTATCTGGTTCATGCCATATCTGCCTTCGGTTTGTTTCATGTCGCAGTGTAGATGGATTAGTTACTCAGTAAACAGCCTGTGCTATGCTTGCCCTTCAGGTTTGATGAACCCCTTCCTGTGAGAGCCTGGCACTGAATGTACAGAGGATTACATTTGCTTAACCTTCGCACAACACAACAATGTGTTTCTAGGATGATTATTTGCATTAGCTAACTGATGGGGTTAATACAGTAGGGAAATTTCTGTAAAGAGTATTGAAGAGAAGTGTGGCTTTCAAAACAAATTATGGCATGAATGTTTTGATCCTGCTGTTTCTGTAATGTACTATGTTTTAATGTTTTAACAGATTAAAGGCTCGTGGTCCAGTAAACGAAGCTCCGAGGAAAACACTAATCCCTACAGTTACAACAGTATTGTCTCTAACTGCTGTGCAGTCTTGTGTGGACCAATGCCACCCAGGTAGACAGAGAAACGTGCAAATTCATCTTTTTCTCCCCCATTTTCTCCTTTTTGTTATTTCTCTTACACATAGGGTGTCCAATTTTCATGTGAATTCCATGTATCTGCAGTACTGCTTTGTGCCAATGTTGCCGCACAGTGACATTTACTTGGTGTTTTCTGCTGTGGATTAGTGTGCAAGTGTTGGAACTCTTGGCATTAGGAAGTTTTGACTTTAGATTGGAGGGAAGCCAGGTGCTTATGTACCCTCGTACTTGTGCATCTGAATAAATTTTAAAGTAACAAGTGCACCTAATTGTTCTGGAATCACTGGGTTGATTGAAGAAAATAAGTTGCATGTGCCAGTGGCATTGTTTCCAATAGACACTGCCTGTTGATTTAAGCCTGCAATGTAATGCACTTGTGCTGTCCTGTCAATTAAAAATGTCCCCTCTGCTTAGCCTATTAGCTTTAATCCCTTTGTAGTTTCCTTCACTCCTTGCAGATGCTCCTTGCTTTAACCACTGCATTCACGAGAATTAAATTTTAAATAGATGCAAACATTTATTTCCATATAAAGTGGTAAATGTCTGGAATAACTGCCAAGGTATTAAGCACAATCTTTAGTGGAGCTCAGGCTAAGCAAGCAAGGAGACCAGCATCTGTGTAAATGTTGGGATATCAGAAGAATGGGCTTCAATGAGAGAGTTGGGATATTGAAAGGATGTGTTTCTATGGAAATATTGAGATGTTGGAAAGATGGGCTTTCATAGAAGAGTTGGGGAAGCAGAAAGTTGGCCTTCATTGAGGCAATCAGTATGGGAAAAGGGTGAGGATGAATATCTCAACAACCTTTTTGTCCTGCTCTTAATTCTGTAAATAAAATAGAATCTCCAAAAAATATCCTGAGTCAGTGGCTTGGGACTAGTTTAGGTAACTTAAGTTTGTATGAGTAAATTGAGTATACTCTGATATTTTTGTTGATGTCGGTTACTCACTACTTTTTCTCTCTCTCCCTCTCTCCCTCTCTCCCTCTCTCCCTCTCTCCCTCTCTCTCTCTGTTCCCCAGTTTAATTGACAGGCGTGGTTTCTTGGACCCAGACCAGATACAGCTGCCTGGGCCCCAACGTAAGGTTTCTCAGGGAGCAAAACCAGAAGTCAACCTGGTAGGAGGTGACCCCCAATGATGTGAATTAATACCGTGCCTGTTGTGTTTGATTCCACCTTCCCTCATGCATCTGTTCATTTCCCTGTTACCGCGACCTCAGCTTGAGCATGAGCAGAAATGAAGGCCGCCCGTTGTGGGAATGTTTAGTTGCCTGACTTGGTGACATTTTGCACACAGTTCCCATGACTGGAAATGTCACTTGAGCCAAGCTCTTGGAAACAGATTGACTCTTTGGGTGCTGTGAAGGATCAACACTGGACTGCTCAGCAAAGAATCATGGGATGTGTTATTGTCTGCAGTCATCTGCCTGATTAGGGGATATTTCTTTAGAGTTTCTCTCCATTACAGAAGTGAGAGATAAGAGTAGGATCATCCTGCTGGATAGAGATGAAAGACTGTTCAAACACAGCACAATGACTGTTACTATCACAGTAATGGTACAGATTGAGAGTGAGTGCTAACGGGTGGGAGTTACATTTGAAAGGGGGAGGTGGAGCCCAAGGGTAGAGGAGGCCAATCCTTCTAATATAATTTAAGCCACTGACTTCCATCTTTGCTTCACATGGGATTGTGGGCTGATGAATATCATGTGATTGTTATGGTGGATTGGTGTAACGTTCCAGTTCAGTTCATTACCCTAAGGAACTAAGTACTCATTTGTTTTGGGTGTTTTAAGACAATTAATCTAGGAAAGGACTCCAGGGGATAGTTGTCGTGGTGTCTTGTTGAGCATTGCTACAGCCTGAAACCTCATGAAAGTGGTGAGAGGGCTCCAGGATCCTGTCTGTGCTTTGTTTTATCTTTGCCAATTTGCATATTGAAGCAAGAATTGCACAAGAAACTTCCTGCTGACTTGTTCTACCACATTTTATTTTAAAACATTTTTGTTTGAATCCTCTGTGCCAGCTTGTTGTCTGTACAGAGAATGTTATCTAATTATTGCTGTTTTATTTTTCATCATCTTGTATTTATAATAAAATTGGTGCTATCTGTCTAAAAGTCTCCCCTGGTGAACTCATAATCTGAAATAAAGTTGGAGAGTTGAATCACAGATTATAGAAGGGACCATAGAGAAATTAGGATGAGCTGAGCTCTGAGAAGATAGAAATGGCTGTTTGGAGTGACCCACTGTAGTATCAGCTCTACTCTTGCCAGCTGTAAGTTATTGTTGACTTATTACTATATTGGTTTCCATGCAGTGCATGGTTCTCTTGACATATTTTTTGAGAAAGAAAGGCAAAAGCTGAGATAAAGCATCTTGACCAAATACTGTCCACCGTGGAGATTCAAAATACAATATTCAGTTTTCTTTCACAGGACCACGAAAGTTTTTCTTGAATTAATACTGAAGCAGGTTCCCTGCTGCTTGTGTTAGTGAAAGCATTACTTAGAATGAGGCAAAACAAAAATGGCCCTGTATTTAACTCCAATCTCTGCTCACTTAGCTAATTTCAGATGAGGCTAGAGTTGGATGGGGATCACAAGGAGACGGTGAGCCAGGGATCCCATTCCTGGTCACTTCACAGCAACCTTCAAGTGTATGTAAGAAGGAAATGACTGGAATCGCCATCAAGTATGATGTCCTCCCCTCTCTCACTCCCACCACCACCTCAACCCTCCTATTTGAATGACCTGCTCACACTTCACCCCAGCTCACATAACAAATGGCTTGTGACGGCAGCAAAGTACTCAGTGCCTGCTTTTTAATGGGGAAGGGATGAAAGGGACAAGATCTGAAAAAATAAAACAAGGAATTGTGAGATTTAGAGGCAGTTTTATTTTTTTAATATTTCTAACACTGGAACTGCTAAAACTGGAAGTCATTTGACAGAGATGTGCTGCTTGAACAAGTAAATGAACCACCTTAGAGTTTGAATATCAGAGGGTCCCACACAAAGCCTCATTTTTGAGGGTCTGGCCCTCAGGTACCAGTGATGACCGTCTTTCTCCAGTCATGATCCTCGTAACATAATTCTGCAACTTCAGAGGGGAGTGGCACTGCATAAGATAAGTGAGTAGAATTAGGCTATTTGACTCATCAAGTCTGCTCCCCCAATCCATCACGGCTGATGTGTTTCTCCATTCCATTTGCCTGCCTTCTCCCCATAATCCTTGATCTCCTTTTTAATCAAGACCCTGTCAACCCCATCTTAAATACACTCAATGACTTGGCCTCCACACTTATCTTTAACAGTTGAGTTCCACAGATTCACCACCCTCTGGCTGAAGAAATTCTTCCTCGTCTCAGTCCTAAAGAGTCATATCTTCACTCAGAGTGTGCCCTCAGGTTTTAATCTGTCCTATTGGTGGAAGTATCTCTGCGTCAACTGTATCCAGGCCTCTCAATGAGATTCCCCTCCCTCATTCTTAAACTCCAGTCTTCCACCGCTCCTCGTATGACAAGCCCTTCATTCCCAGGGATCATTCTTATGAGCCTCCTCTGAACCCTGTCCAAGGCCAGCACATCCTTCCTTAGATATGAGGCCGAAAGCTACCCTCAATATTCCAAATGTAGTCTGACCAGACCGCTGTACAGCCTCACCATTCTAACTCCCTTGAAATGAATGCTAATATTGCATTTGCCTTTGTAGCTCTCAACTGAGCCTGTATGTTAGCCTTAAAGAAAAGCCTGAGCTAGGATTCGCAAGCCCCTCCGTGCTTCAGATTTTGGAAGCCTTTCCCCATTTAGAAAATAGCCTATACCTCTCAGCTCCTACAAAAGTGCATAATTCACGTTTTCCCACATTGTATTCCATGTGTCAATTCTTTGCCCACTCTCCCAGCCTGTCCAAGTCCTTCTGCCTCTCTGCTTCCTCAACACTACCTGGCTCTCCACCTATTTTTGAGATAACAAGGTGTAGAGCTGGATGAACACAGCAGGTCAAGCAGCATCAGAGGAGCAGGAAAGCTGACGTTTCGGGCCTAGACCCTTCTTGCTGTGCTCACCCAGCGCTACACCTTGTTATCTCAGATTCTGCAGTTCCTACTATCTCTCTCCACCTATTTTTGTGTCATCTGCAAACTTAGCAACAATGACCTCACTCCTTTGTCAAGGTCATTAATGTATATTGTAAATAGTTGTCCCAGTACTGACCCCTCTGGAACTCGACTAGTCACCTGCTGCCAGTCAGAAAAAAACCCTTTTTTTGTACTCTGCTTCTGCCATTTATCCAATTCTCCATCCATGCCAGTACCTTGCCTCAAATATAATGAGCTCTTATTTAGCAGCCTTCTCTGGAGCACTTTGTCACAGGCCTTCTGGAAATGTAAGTAGGGCATGTATGCTGGCTGTCCTTTGTCTAATTTGCTTGTTACCTCCTGAAAGAATTCTAACAGATTTGACAGGCATGACCTCCCCTTGACTAAGCCATGCTGACTTAGTCCTATTTTACCAAGCATCTCCAAGTATTCCTCAATCTTGTCCTTAATAATGGACTTGAAAACCTTACCAATAACTGATGTCAGGCTGACTGGCCTATAATTTCCTGTCTTCTGACTCCTTCCCTTCTGAAACAGGGGTGTTACACTAGCCATTTCCCAGAATTCTGAGACCTTCCCTGACTCCAGCGATTCCTGAAAGATCACCACCACTGCATTCACAATCTCCCTGGCTATCACCTTTAGATCTTTCAGCTTCCCCAGCACCACCTTCTTAGTGATGGCCAGTACATTTGATTCTGCCCCCTCACTCTTGAAGTTCTGGTATGTTGCTGGTGTCTTCCACCATGAAGACTGATGTGAAGTATCAGTTCTGTTCCTCTGCCATTTCTTTGTTTCCCCATTTCTACTTCCCCAGCCTCATTTTCCAGAAGTCCAAAGTCCAATCTTGCCCCTCTCTCTTGTCTTTTTTTAAAGAAAACTCTTGCATACTTCTTTTATATTAATAGTTAGCTTACCTTCATATGTAATCATCGTCCTCTTTATTGCTTTTTTAAATTGTCCTCTGGTTTTTAAAGGCTTCCTTTACCACATTGTATGTTATTGCTTTTGTTTTTATGTTGTCCCTGACTTCCCTTGTCAGCCATGGTTGCCTCGTCCTCTCCTTTAGTATGTTTCTTCTTCTTTGGGATGAATTTCTGCTGTGTCTCCTGAATTGCCCCCAGAAATCCCTGCCATTGCTGTTCCACAGTCTTCTGTTTGGCTTCCCTTCCAACCAACTCTAGCCAGTTCCTCCCTGTTTTCTTTGTGATGTCTTTACTCAATAGTAATACTGTTACATCTGATTCCAGTCTCTCCCATTTAAACTGCAGGGTGAATTCTATCATATTATGGTCACTGCCCCCTAGGAGTTCCTTCTCCTTAAGCTCCATAATCAAGTCTGCCTCATTACACATCACGAAATCCAGAACTATCCGTTCCTTATGGGCATTACCACAAGTTGCTGCAAAAAAAACCTTGTAGACATTCCACAAAATCCTTTTCTTGGGACGTGCTACCAACATGATTTTCACAGGCCACCTGCATATTGAAGTCCCCCATGATTATTCTTACATCCCTTTTCTATTTCCTGATTTATTTTCTGCCCTGCATCCTGGCTACTGCTAGGAGGCCTGTACGTAACTCTCATCAGGGTCATTTTTTCCTTTGCGGTTCCTTGCTCCACATACTTTCTGTGCCATCTGATTCAATATCACTTTTAGCTATTGGTTCAATTTCTTACTAACAAGGCAACTCTGACCCATCTGCTTGTCCTTGGACATATCCCTTGGACATTTTGTTTCCAGCCCTGATCCCCTTGCTGCCCACCCCTCTGTGATATCTACAACATCATACCTGCCAATTTCAATCTGCATTGTAAGCTGATTTACTTTGTTTCGTATACTGCGTGCATTTAGGTACAAAACCCTTGGGTCTGTGTTGACTCATAGTTAGCACCTTATCTGCTGTGCATGAAGTTAGATTCCTGACCCTTTCTAGGCTCTCCGGCCTACTTGATCTGAAAACTTTAATAACTTCTGCTGAGCCCTTCCCCCAACTTTAGCTTTTTCCATGGCTTTGTGGAGACCAGGTGTCTGCAGGAGGTAGCTGTCATTATGATAAGGACCAAGAAAAAATGTCTACACTGTCTGGATATAGGGCCAATGATAAATCAGCAAGGAACTGGAAGGGATGAGAGTTTGAAGCACAGCTTCAGGTAAGATAGGGCAGTAAAGCTGTTTGCTTTTGGATTCAGCATAAACAAATGGTCTAAATACTTTTGGGGGCTGTTTGCTTTAGGTTTACTTACGTTGAGCTGGTGAATCTGCTTAATCATTCTATGACTTCAGTTTCTTAGGATCTGCTGACATGCATCATGCCAGGAAGGGGTAATGGAAGACAAATTGTTTAGAGTCAGTTCTGAGATTTTTGTCTTGTGGTGGTCTGTCTAGACTTGCAGTAACTGTAAGAAGTTCAAGCTGGATCCAAGTTGTTTAGTGATAAAGATTCCTTGGCCCTTGGATCAGTGGACCCTCACTAGGGCTCTTTCACACCATTCAAGGTTGCTGTGTTTTTCACTAATTCTTGAGAATTGTGATTTGCTGGCATTTAGTGCCCATTTTTGTAATTGTCTTTGAGAGGGTGCTGATAATCCACTTCTTTGAGCATCAGCAGTCCTTGTTAAAGAGATGGGGAGGCAATGGCCGAGTGCTATTATCGCTGGACTGTTGATCCAGAGACTCAGATAATGTTCTGGGGACCCGGGTTCGAATCCCGCCATGGCAGATGGTGGAATTTGAATTCAATAAATATCTGGAAATATGAATCTAATGATGACCGTGAATCCATTGTCGATTGTCGGAAAAACCCATCTGGTTCACTAATGTCCTTTAGGGAAGGAAACAGCCATCCTTACCTGGGCTGGCCTACGTGTGACTCCAGACCCACAGCAATGTGGTTGACTCGTAACCGCCCTCTGGGTAATTAGGGATTGGCAATGAATGCTGCCTAGCCAGTGACGCCTTCAGCCCATCAATGAAGAAAGAAAAAAAAAAATGCCACAATTTGGTTTGGTCAGGGATTCCAGGATTTTGATCCAGTAATGAGGAAGGAAGAAAAGCAATACATTTTCTAAGTCAGAACAGTATATGACTTAGAGGCGAGAGTATTTCTATGCACCTGTTGCCTTTTCAGTCAGGAAGGTCACAGATTTTGGAAGTACCAATGAAGAAGCTGTGCGTGATGCAGCAGTGCAAAGTTTAGATACTTTACACTCCCTCCAGTGTCTGCTTGGTGGTGGAAGGAGTGAGTGCTTAAGCTAGTGGATGGTGTGCAAATGAAGTGCACTACTTTGTCCTGGATTTTGCTGAGCTTCTTGGGTGCAATTCTAACACCAGTCATCAGCCAAGTGGCAGATATTCCATCGTACTTCTGATTTGTGCCCTGTAAGTGATAAGGAGGCTCTGGACAAGCAGGTCAGAATACCCAGCCTCTGAACTGTTGTAGCAATCATGGTATTTATCTGGTTGGTTCAGTTGAGTTTCTGGTCCCAGGATGATGAATTTGGGAAAAAGCAAAGACGGTAATTCCTTGAGTGTCAAATGAAGGTGATTAGGCACTTTGGTTATTGTCTGTGCTTGTATGAGTCAGTTTATTTTGATTAATTTTCATGGGATGAGAGCATTGCTGGTCAGGCCAGCATTTTTTGTGCCTTTCCTAATTTCCCTTGCATTGATTGACTTGCTGGGCCTTTCCAGAGGGCGATTAAGTGTCAATTGTGTTGCTGTGGAGCTGGAGTCACACACAGTGCAGACGATCGAAGAGTATCAGACTTCATTCTCTCTGAAAGACATTAGCAAATCTGTTGAGTTTACCTGACAATCAATGATAGCTTTATGGTGACCATTAACTTTCAATTTGGGATTTATTTCTAATACTGTACATTAAATTAAAATCCACCAGCTGTCCATGGTGGGATTTGAACCCATATCCCCAGAATATTAGCTTGGGTGTCCGAATAGTCGTCCAGTGACAATGCCACTGCCTTACCAAGAAGTCATGAGGATAGCACCTGTGACACTATGAATCCAACACAAATTATTCAGCAGGCTGCAGCTTCCAATGGAAATGTATCCTTGCTTCCTGATCATTTGCACATCAACTGAATTTAACTCTTTGTAGAACCTTAATCTACTGCAACATTTACCTCTGCTTTGACTAGTATAAACAGAGTGATGTCTTATCTCAGCATTGTCCCTACTCGTAATTTATTTTCCTGCTCAAATTCTGCTGAAGAAAATCTGTTTGAGTGTATGTCCATTGCACCCTAACCGTATCTTTGGATGTCTTACCTCAACCGCTATTGTGAGCTTGACCTCAATGGGTCTCAAGTATGGACCATCAGCTAACTGAGAAATAGAGAGAACTAGCTCCATTTGTGAACTGTGTATTCAGTTTAAGCTTTTCCAATTTCTAATTAGAACACTGAGTCACCTTGAGTAAGAACACCCCAAGTTTATTCCCTTCACTCTGTTGCATTAGCATTTGAGTACTAGAATTGATGTTTGAGTTCCTGTGCCTCACTGCTGCATGGGTTTGGTGAGGACAGGAATAATGCTAAAACGCAACAGAACTAGTATCCAAAGAATGATCATTTGCTTGACCAACTGGAAATGTCTTTATAACACTTCCACCAGCAAAGAGAAATGTTTTGTTTGAGTTATTGAATAATTTGAGCTGTATCCTGAGATTTTTGAGATGTTACTGGTTATTGACTTACGTTGAGCAAGAGAGAACATTTCTTGGGAAGTAAGTTATGATTATCAATTCTGCTTCTAATTCTGCCATTTGGGACATTCAATATGGTATTATCCTGGGTATTCAAGACTTGGGCATAATTGGTGACATCTGTGCGATGAAATATGAGCCAAATTATCATTTCACCATGAGTTTTTGACAGGATTGTCAACCATTGAGAGTTGAGCACATTTAATTCCAGCCGGGTTGATTGAAAGAGCAAGGAATAAAATGGAAGGAAGGAATGCTTTTAGCGTGCGCACAAATCACTGGTTCAACAATGACTTCTATGCAATAGACACCAGTGGCAGTGGGACGGTGTTAAGAGATTTAGTTTCAGTTTAAAAGAGTAGAGGCAGCCTTACCCTATATCTAACTATGCTGTCCATGTCCTGGGAGTGTTTGATGGAGACATGCTGAGGGAACTTTACTCTGTATCTAACCCTGTGATTTTTCTGTCCTTGGAGAATCTTGTGTCTCTAGTGGCTGTATTTGATTGCCACTACCCTGCTGTTGTTTTTTGGTCAGCATCCTTCCAACTATCTTACTATTTCTCCTGTTGCTGCTTCTGTGCAATCCTGTGACCAGCCCCAATATTATCTTGGAAAAACTTACAAGATACATTAATACCTTTACATTTTACTTAAATATGCTCCACTGCTTGCATAAAATATAGATTTCTAGTCATGATGAACCAATGAATTTAGTGCTTAGAGTGCATGGATAAGTAATTAGGACTAAAGTTGGGCTGGAATTATAGAATTGAATTCTATATAAAACATACTTAAAAATTCCATATGAATGCCATTTTATCTGCAGTTTAACCTATTTATTCCTTGAATTTAAAATTTTACATTTACATAATTTCCAGCAGCAGCAGCAGAGTTGTAATCATGCAATCCTGGCCAGATCTGTAAGCATCTTGATAAGAGATCTGGTAACTTGGACAGAGAATCCTGCATTCACCTACACTGCTTGAGGACATAGAGAAAATCTTACAAGATCTATGCATCATGCCTCAATCCCCATTACACTCTCAGTAAAGCCAACTCTTTCTAAAGGTTCAATGCTCTGACTTGGCACACTGTCCCACTCTACATTCAGAATAATGCAGCGGAACCAGAATTTGAAGCAGGTGTTTTTGTTTGATCTTTCTGCATTTGGTTTAGATCAGTGAATTTATCCACTTAGATATTGGTGAACTTTAATAGTTTGGTTTCTTGTTGAAATGGCAGCTGTGACATTGAAGCAAATCGCAGAGTCATTGTGTAATAGCCTAAGGAGAGACGGAGTAACCAGCTAACTTTATTCACTGGCATTCCCTGTGATGAGAATCTGAGATCACAGTGCCAGTTGTGTTCAATCAATCGTATCTGGGATGCTTCAGTGTTTTTACTGTGGGCTATAATCAGACTGACTCAATTCAGTCGTTCTCACCTTAGTTTTCTTTTTTTCTCTCTGTATTGGTAGAAACAAATTGGAACAAAGACTGGAAACTCAGCACAGTTCCCTTTTGTCTGAGGAACTGAAGCACTGCACTGTATGCCAGAGTCCCTTAGGACAGTCTAAAAATCCATTGAACAATTGTACTGAAATCCAAGAAAATGGAAATACTGTTGATGTATAGCTGGTCGCAGCTGAAAGTGATTCAAGCTAATGGTTGCATGGAAGAGTGAGTGTGTTTTGGGATTGGGAGGAGAGCTTCAAAGGACCCTTTCTAACTCTGGTCAGGTCAGATTCTTTGAGTCTGATATGGATTCCGAGGAGACAATTGTTGGGTGTGAGAGAGCTAGAGACACGGCAGTTGTTGGTCTGTATGTAATTGTGAGTGTTTGTTCCCTAGGAGGATACTTGTGAGGATTTTGCAGTTTCATGCACGGCCTGATTGGATGTAAGAGGTTTCAGAGTGAGGCTGGTGCTGACAGCTGGTAAGCGTTCTCGCTCATTCAACATGCTCATTCTTCATTTTCATCACCCATGGACACTGCATGAGGAAATGCCAACAGTCCACAACCAGATAGTCTCTCATTAACCTGTTGCTATCCAGCCTTCAACATGCCAAGTCCTTGTGTGCTTCTTACATAAAGATTTTCCACTTGTCAAGATATGGAATGTCAGATTTGTATTTCTGAGGGCAATCAAAGCCCTGGCCTGCCATTAGCACAGAGCTGAGGGCCATTGATTTGAAAGTTGAAGTTTGCTGTAGAGAAGCTTTTTTGCAGGTAAAGGTGCAGACACTGATTAAACTGGGAATGTGTTCCCAAAACTATGACTCTATTTATCTGCAGGTGCTATTTGCAGCACATCTCTAGTTACTGTTTTCTAAATTCCCAATTTAAATTTTAATAATTTTTTTAACCTCTCAGTACAGTTGTCCCAGTTGGAGTGACAAGTGATACTTTATAATTGGCCTCAACAGAGAGGAAAGTTACAAGTTAGAGTTCCTAGTCCTGATCCAACAGCTCTCGCTGGAAGGTCAATGTGACTGAGGTTGGGCTACAACACTCAATAGTTGAATGTAACGTATTTGAACGTCCAGTGAGTGAGATGCTAATGAATAATTAGCAATAGTGAAATGAATATTAAAGTTATTCCATTCAGTAAAGGGAGAATCTTGAATGATGTAAACAAAACCAAAAAGTAGCTTTACAATTTGTTTTTGAGTGACTCAAAGTTATATCATTTACATTAAATTGCGTTGTGTATTCTGAGGAAGTTAATTATTTTTCAAGACTATGGTCCTAACTTGAGGATTGACACGCTGGACAACATGAGCCATTTTTTAAATTTAGTGAAAAACGCACTTGGGAGCTATGATGCTGTTACTCAAATGCCAATTATTATGAAAATAAGATAACAACATATTTGTCCTTTGAAACGATTTCAACCCCTCTAGTAATGCCACATTTTTTTTCAAATTAAATTCACATGCTAATTAGTTTTAAAATGTCTGTCAGCCTTAATCTGCATTGTACTATTGAATGTCACAAACTTGTTCCCTCCAATAAATTAAACTTTTTATAACAAAATCGTCCCAAAACAACACTGCAATAATTTACTTTATTGATGTATATGTCTGTCAGTGAGCAATGCACCCGATCAGCTAGCGGGTAATATGTAAGCTATAAATGTGAGGGCACGTGATGTCCTTTTGTTCAGCAAACCATGCAGTTGTCACTTACAACTTTTTCAATAGATTTTCATATTTTTGTTAAATATTTCATAAGTTCTGTTGTAACTCTGTTTAAAATATCCATTGCCAAGGAGGTTTTTAGATCTGATCTACCATTTTTAAAATAGACATTTCTTTTCTAAAAATCAATAGCGAAAAAAATAACGTACCCTTAATCAAGTTGAGGAGCTGCAGTTCAGTCCTTAGTGAGCTGCATGGCTGTAGAGCTGCACGTTGCCATCTCTCTAACTGGTACTATAGGCTCTACATTCAGAAATAATTTATTGTTCTACTATTTGTCCCTGATTTGGAAGTGTGCCTGTAAATACTTCATGGCCTGCATACACAGGTGTGCTTGTAAAACGTATGCAGTCCTACCAGAAATCTCCCTTAAATACAGTACAATTTACCTCAAGTGAATAAATAAAGCACTTCTGTACTGCAACAGTTCAGTGACCACTGGAAATGCGACATATAGTGAAATGGTCTACTAAATGTACATACACTGTGAACTGTCCTACTTCTCTGTCTGTAAATAGTGCATGATCGTACAGGAAGTATGTTTCTAAATAATGCATCGTCCTACAGGGGGTATATGTGAGTGTACCATCCTACAATCTTATATCTCTTATAGTGGCTTGCTGTACTGGTAATTGTGTTAAAAAACACAATGTCCTACTGTTGACATTTAACGTCCCAACGACCTATTTGTGAAAAGCAGGCTGAGAATGTGCAGTATCATAGTTCTCATTGTGGGTGACCTTGAGCATCTGAGGCTGGCAGATGGCTACTATTCAGGCAATAGCTTATGTTATTCATAGCCGATCTTTTCAGTTACGTGCTGATGTGAGTTGTGTTGTCTAAAATCCTAATTTATGACTGGGTAAACAATCCCTGATTGGCTGCCATGCACAGATCTAATCTGTAGTGAGACCAACCAAAGAACTTGGCAATGGAGTTGCGTCTAAGAACGATTCAGTTTCACATATATTGTTCGCAGCTGTGATGTGTATGTTCTGAAATAGTGAAGCTAATTTGATGTACCACTTCAGGTTTTATATTTCCAATGGTATTTCCAGGCTTTTAAAAACTTGCCTGCCCCTGCTCTTTGTCCCCTCCCGACAATGTAGTAAGGATGCTAATTGTCCAACAAAAGAAAGGCACATTAAAATCCTGAACACTTGGATACTTGTTTGAATAGTCCAGAGGCTGCCAACTTCATTTAAATGTAGATATTTAATAGCATGACTGACCCACCATTAGTTACAGGTACAGAGGAGGCTCGGACTTGGTCTGAAATACAAACATTAGATAGTTTATATTTGACTTCATTTCTACCTTTCTGGATTCTGAGCATTATTTGTGGCCCACAGTTTGGCCTGTCTGGTTCCCTTTTGATGTTGTATATTTAGAGGTTCATGCGAAGAGTGATTTTGTATTGCATTATGTTATGGCACAAACAGGCCATTAAGCCAACTAGGCCTGTGCTGATGTTCATATCCCATGTTTGCCGCCTCCTACTGCTTTCATCTCATTCCATTAACATGATATAAAGTATATTAAAAGAAACAGTACAATTCTAAAGGAGTTCAAAAGCAAAGAACCTTAGGATATATGTGCACAAGTTATTGAAGGTGGCAGGGAGGTTGAGAAAGTGATTAATAAAGCACATGGAATTCTGAGTTTTATGAACAGGCAAAAAGTCCAAACGTGAGCAAGTTATTATCAAATTGCATTAAACAGTGGTTCAGCCTCAACTGGAGTATTATCCAATTCTGAACAATAAGTTTTAGAAAAGATGTGAATGCATTAGAGGGAGTGCAGAAACAAACGTCATGAGAATGGTCCCAGAGATTAGGAGCTTTTTTTCATTTGGAGAGGTTGGAGAAACTTGGGACTGATTTCCTTGGGAAAGAGAAAATTAAGTGGAGAGTTGGATAATTATCTGAAGAGGGAACATTTTCAGGACCATGGTAAAAAGCAGGGGTGGTACTGAGTAAGTTGCTCTTGCAGAAGGCAGATGTGAACACAGCTGACAGGCTATGTCTGTACTGTAACCATTCAATGCTAACCTTTTCCTCTATCTTTTGTGTTTATCTCTCTTTAAATGAATCACAACTAGTTGCTCAAACTACTTAAGGTACAAAGTTCCACATTCTAGCCACTTTCTAGTGAAGATGTTTCTCCTGAATTTCATACATAATTTGTGCTACCTTATTTATGATTTCCAGTTCTGGTCTCCACAAAAGTAAAAACATCCGCCCTGTCAAAAACTTCCATTGTTTCAAAGACATATCAGATACCCCTCTCACAATAGAGCCATAACCTGTTAAGATCCTGTTACATTGTGAGATAGTGGGGAAGGTAGCCCTACTTAGGGTTAGATGTTTCCTTCCCTGTACCAGTTTAATGGAGAGAGTTCTTAATCAAAACAATGCCGTCACTCTCAATTCCCTTGTGTGTACTACAATTGAATGTGACATTTACCAGTGCCTTTATATGTGCATCTTGCTGTTATTCATGCTGTTTGTAGCATCTGCCAAGAATGATATAAATATGAGCTGGTACTGTATCCCCTGGAAAGCACCATACAGAAACATTGTTCTTTGAGCACACCTATGTTTAAGTTGCATGGCATACTTATCTTGCAGGTGAAAGTGGCAATGAAGCAAACAAATAATAAGATAGGATAAGGTATTCCTCACTTGCCTCAATTTAGTATTGGGCTGATTTGCAGTTGAGATGCAGACTGCTATTATGGTATAGGTTACTGGGTTCTGAGATTGTGGCTCAGTGTTACTCTGCCAGATGTGAATGGTGATAGCCTGAGGAACACTGAAGCCATAATTCTGTCTCAACCTGACTCCTTGAGAATTGGCAGTATGCAAGGCCTTATAGACATCTCTATTCTGTTCCTGTAGGTGAGGATTATGTCCAGTGACTCCCAAAGGCTCAAATGTGACACAATTGCTTTTTTTAATCAGATAATTACACAGTGAAAAATACTTCTGACAAATCTTCTATTTCCCCTTCATTTACATCTCCTCTTTTTTTTGTTTTCCTCCTCTGCTCTTCACCGTCTTCCTTTTTCTTCGCCCACTCCATTTCTCCTAGTCTGTCCCTACTCCTCCTCTGCAAATGTTGACTCTAGTCCCCTGTCCTCTCTTCCACATCACCTCCCTTGAAGATACTAATCTCACTTTCCTTTTCGTGAACACTTGTTCACTCTTTTTCCCCTCTTTACCCTTGTGTTGTCATCCCCTGCAGGATTTAACGCATTGCCCTGTCTCCTTGCCTTTTCTGTTCCTTGCATGATAGTTCCACTGGTCCTTCAGCCTTGGCTATTTTTGAGTTGCAATCCAATGCTGCTAATTTACGAGAGCACGGAGTTCACAGCTGATTGTTTTGTTAGCTTTCCACCAAACCTGTTCAAACTTGGTTTTGCTGGGGTTCATCCTTTTTGCCATCTGCGCGACATATTGGGTGGTATTGACAATGCCATGATTTGATTCTGCATCAGAATTGACATGGCTGAGCTATGAACTGGTGAAGCTGTATGAGTAATGAGCTGTTTTAAAAAAAGTGCAAAATTCTTCAGATGCTAAAAATCTGCAATAAAAATAGAATGTGCTGGAAATGCTCAGCAAATCAGGCAGCATCTGTGGAACGAAAAACAAATGACATTTCAGGTTGATGACCTTTGATTAGAAACTGACTGCAGGTCATTGATCTGAAAGTTAATGCTGTTTCTCTCTCCACAGGTGCTACCTGACCTGCTGAGTATTTCCAGATTTTCTGCCTTTATTTGAATCATGAGCTGACTTTGTATGAATACTTTATCTCCCCAGGTCACCAGCTCCTGGAGCTGGATGGTTATTTGATCCTAGGCCTGTGTCAGTAATCCATCTGCCTTGGGTTTCTGAGATGAGGTGACTGAAACCTGAGCCCCTCAAAATGTTAAGGTTGAAATTAGGAACTGACTCATCTAACAAATTTTATCCATTTTCAAATGACCCACGACTTCAGTGGTTTCAGGAGAGGAGTTGCAGATTTCCACTACCCTTTGTGTGAACAAGTGCTTCATCACATTACCTCTGAATGACCTAACACTAATATTAAGGTTGCAGATGATAAGTCAGCTGTCCCATTGCCTTTAGGAACAAACAATTTATTTCTGTCAAAGAATCAAAAGATCTCCTCTGAAGAAGGGTCATATTAACTCAACACTGACTCTGTATCCCTCATCACAGATGCTGCCAGACTTGCTGATTTCCAGCACTTTGGTTTTAAGAAACATCATTAGAATTTTGGATTCTAAGAACTTTTTCCTCCGTCTTTAGTAGTTGTGGGTCAGTTTAACGTACACTAGTAAAACTCTCAGACGTGGAATGTGCACACTCATTTGGGTTTTGTTGTGTTGCCAGCTGCAGTGAGCAGTTTAATCATTAAGGACGTGACTGGAGCCATTAACTTTGATCTGAATCCATGTATTCTAATACCAAGGACATTTGAAGGAACTTTCTGTGGGACAGTTATGTAATCTACAGGTTATTAATGTAGATTTTGCAAAATTGAAATTATTTAAAGGTTGTTCCTAAATCGGGCCCAATTGTGCATTTCAGAAGTCTTTTTATCACTTTTTGCTACAGGAACCCTGAATCAGGCTACTGTGTCACAGCTCTTCCGCATCAGTACTCAGCATACTTCTAATTGACTGGTTTAAGTTGATCCCTGTGGATTGTAACAGATCTCTCTGTTTCTTCCTCCTTGGTGCGGTGTCTGCTGGTGCAGGAAGCATTGGGGGTGGGTTAGCTGTGTCATATCCAGGACTGTAAATAGTGATAATGGAACTTCTGGCCCTGTGCTAACTTTGCGTAATTTTGCTCTTCATTTCAATAGTTTTGCTTTATTGAGACAACTGAACCATTATAGAAATATATAATTGTTATGTTTAAATATTTAAGTAAGTTTTGAGCTGAAACCTAGCCCACTGTCCCATTTTGGAATTGAATTCTGTTGATGACCATATTCTGTTTTTGGAGCATCTTTTGAAACATCACCCATGTAAAAATATTTTTTGAATGTTACTAAAAGCCTTTCTTCTTTTTTCCCCCCCTCTGTGTCTCTCTCTCTTTCTCCTTTCCAATCCTTTTTAAACCCTTTGCTCCATCCTCTATTCCTTTAGTTTGGCCAGGGCCCTTGTGGTCAAGGTGTTAATTTTTTTTTCCAGAGTACACCCACATCCTTTTTCCAATCAGGTTTGTGTGTCCTGAATAAAACTGTGCCAGGGAAGGCAGCTGTGGTGTGTGCCACCGCGACCCCTGGCCGCATCAAGCCTTCACATCCACAAGAAAAAACAGTGCAGCTGAAGTTTCAAGCTTCAAGGACAGGCTCTTCCCCCAGTGCATGAGCCATCCCAGATGAAACCATCGGGACAACTGCAGATCTTCGAAATGGCTAAATGTGAGCTATTAGAGAGACCGCATGACACTTGGCTCTGTTCGCACAGAAAGCTATTTTGTTATTGCTGCTTTGCATTGGAGTATTGAGAGACATGAGCAGTGCAGGCTGCTGTCTAATCTATAGTATTTTCATCTTGGTGACTTGAATTTATGTAGAAAGGATTTGCAAATGTTCTGAAATTCCAGATGTTTGAACATACTGAATCTTTAGAACTGCTGTCGAAAAGACTGAATATCTATGGATGTGAATGGGGCAGATAGGCTTTATGCCATTTAACTTGATGAAAACCTGGAATTTTGGTACAAATGCTGAATGGCTTGATAATTGAGTGTTTTTAGATCACGTGACTTGGATCAAATCATACTGACGTATTAGCTGGGTAAAAACTTGTTTATAGCATCATGAGTAGCTAAGAAACAAATTAGTCAATTATTCATCTTGATTGGATGCCAAAACTGCAGTTGAGTATGTCACACTTGAAGCAAGGACAATCGTCATTCCTTCCACTGGGTTGAATCATTTTATGTATCTTTATAATAAAATATCAATTACTGTCCACGCTCTGGAGAACTAACGCTAAATGCTACTGCAATATAAGCACAATATCACAGCCGGGAAGTGATGTCAAGTATCAGATAGGATACCGGGTGTGCCACACCAACTCTTCGTTGTAGCTGTTCAGAGGTCATTTTAATCTGGATCCAAATCAAATTAAAGAGGGATCCAGGAATCAGTACGTACTTCATAACATTTATACTGCATATGACTGAATGTGTGCTTGATCCACAAGCGATACAGATTTAATAATTCAGGATGTTATTCACCAAAGTATGAGGGAGTTAAGAAATGTGTTTTGGATCACTTGAATTAGAATTTGCAGCACTTACTATCTAAATTACTTAGCTGAATAAAATCCACCTTTTCTGGACTTGTATATTAAAGGTGTTTGTGTTCAATCAGCAAGACTTTGAGGTAATGTGTCTGTAATTGTACAACACCAGTCATTGCTGCTCAAATGTGTCTGAAAGTGAGGTGATATTTAATTGACTCCGCACTCTGGATAGACAAAGCTTACTCAATATCTGCAACTCAAATATCCTTTGGGCCCAGTGATGATTCTGTCAAACTACCCCAGCACTTTGAAACACAGTTTATTGTCTGATGTTCAGAGCTGATTGAACTGACAACTAAACTAATAAAGCGGTTGGAATGAATGTAATAAATGGCCAGCTTCAGTGAAGAAGCTGCACTCAGGAGGACGATTCATTGAGAATGAAATTTTGGTCACCTGATTTCAAGTGACTTTATCTATAATCTAAACTACTAAGCAATACTGGCGCCTCTGTAATGTGCATTGCTTCAGGTGATATGAAGTGCCTTGTGCAACTGCTTTGTATTTATTCTAAAATGCACCAGTTTACCATTGAACATAGTTATCTTGTATTCAATTCAATAAATATAGATGCACTTCATGCTATGCATCTGCAGTGGGTTATTTTGTGTGTGTGTGTGTCAATTGCCACTTTCTATTACACAGGTTTTTTAGCAAAGCTCTTGACCTCTCAGTGGATTGATATAGGAATGGTTATTTGCCAGTATTTTCTCCGGTTTTGCATTTGATGAGAATTGCAGTCTGGATGATGCTGTTGGTGCCTCAAATATTCATCTTCAGAATTTGATTGTGAATCTATCCCAAATTATAATGAGAAGAAAAAAGTTTGCTTTTGTCTCTATCTCTTCTGTCCTCCTTTGGTCTTGTGCTCCCATGATACAAATCTGAAGTAGTCTGAGTTCTGATCTTCGAGAATATGAATCCCTAGACTGTTTCATGCAGGACAGAGGATAGCCAGTGTGGAAAATGGCCAAATTTTACACCTGTACAGTTCTTGACCCAGATTGGGGTTAAGGTAGGTTATTAGAATACAGAAAAAGTTTCACTCTTCATCTGATCCCATAATTTACTAATTTTAGAACTGTTTAATGGGACATCTGAAACACTAGTGAGTGTTTGATGGGACAGTAGTGTGTGTGTTTATTGGGGCAATGTGGGGGAATGTTTGGGACATCTCGTTCTCTAAAATGAGCTCAAAAATACAAAATTATGAATTAAGTACCAGAGCTGTTTTGAATAGCAAAAATCCTTAATCTACTATATTCAAGTTCTGGAAAATAATGTCCTGGAGTAAGTTACCTGTCAGTTTGAACTACCTGTTCATTTTCAATGGACAACTTCAAGATACTAAGGAACCTGATGGGAATAACACATGACGAGACAATATGAAATGCAGCCAAGTAAGATACTTCTGGATGTGGGATTCACTGCCTTTGACAGGAACTCTAACTTTTCAATTAGTCTTTTTTTTACAAAAAACATTTTTTTGACTTCCACCTTCCTGTCTCCATATTTCTTTGTTTTGCTTCATACGTATAGTACATCCAGCGAGACCATGCTCTGCTGTTAACAACAGATTTCAATCTGTATTACTTGCCCTAACTGCAATGAATGCTGAATTGTTATTTTGGTGTTTTGGTACAAATGTGTTAGGCTGCAGTCCTGATGATTATAGAAGGTAAATGAAAGGAAACACATGTTCCTACCCACTTGAAGTCAATAATTCTCATTTGAAGTGGCTTATTATAATGTTACGTTTCTATTTACTTCAACCTTTAATTTTATGTTGGGTCAAATTGTGTTTTTAAGGCTGTAAACTGTCGGATATTAAATTGATGTTAAACCGTTCTGAGACAGTTTTGAATTTTCTAGAGATATTAGGATGTTCTCAGCTGCTTGTTTGTAAATGTTTGTATGGTTTGTATCTTCTAGAATAATAAGTTAGTCTGTTAAAAAGGTTTTCTTTCCTCTTTGCTGTTTTTGTGCGTTTTCCTGTCTCATTTTCCACCAGTTCAAGAATGAATTGGGAACCTAGACAGAAACTGTAGACTGGACTGAGTTTGAGTTGGCCAGAGGAAGTGAAATATTCTATATCAACAGTAACATGTATCTATATGGTGACTTTGATTCCTTTATAGATACATCAGTAGTGTCAGAGGACTGGAGGACTGCAAAGAAGAGGAGAGAGAAACTCAGCAATGATTGGCCAATCAGCCTAATGTTAGCAGTAAGGCTTCCTCATGCGTGCTATCAAACAAGGTTTGCCACTGAGCCACACAATATATGGTAGATGGCCAAGAGCATGCTCAATGAGATAGATTTTACGGTGTGCCTTAAAGGAGAGGTGATGAGATTGAGAGAGCAATTTATTTCTCAGTGCCACACATCAACAATACATATACTTTTGAGGGAGTCCATCACAACTTGCAAGAATGACATTCTGGTTTAGAGTGTTTAAATTCTGAGAATAGCTTTCATCAGTTGGCTTGTATTCCTTTGACTGTGATAGATATTGGCATGTTTTGATCAAAGTATTAAAATGTTTTCATAGGGTATACAGAGAGAAACTATTTGCTCTGGTGGAGAAGTCCAGAACCAAGGACAAGGATCTTAAAATTAGGGTTAGGTCATTCATGAGTGCAGTTAAGGAAGTATTTCTTACAAGTGCCTGGCTAATGTGCTCTGGGGATTGATTGCAAGTTTTCAATACTGAGTGGCACCATTGAAAATGATGGGGAGATGGGAGATCTTCCTCTTCATGGAAATGGTAATTGCTGTTATATAGCACAAATAATATCTTTCCCAAGTCTGGATGTTATTCTCGGTCTTTATTCAGCTGATTTGACCTTTAATTCTTGAAGAATCTGGGTATTGCTAGCAAGGCCAATATTTGTTGTCTATCCCTAATTGCTCTTGAACTGATTGGCTCTTTGACTCAATTGTCGTCTGAAATGGCTAATCATGTTGCCGTGGATCTGAAGGCCAGGCCAGGTAAGGATGGCAGATTTCATTCCTAAATGAAAGTGGTGAAATAAATGCATTTTTATGGTAGCAGAAAGTGGTTACATAGCCGCTCTTAGACAAGTATTTAATTCTATTTATTGAATTCAGATTTCACCATTTTCCATGTCAGGATTTTGCCATGTCCACAGAACATTAGCTTTGGTTTCTAGACTACCATTCATGTAACATTGCCAGTATGCAGTATTGGAGCAAAAACAACAGAGTGCTGAAATATCCCATGTACAATAGGACGTTGTTAATAAGCAGCTAAAGATGAATGGGCTGTACGTGCTTCCCCAAGGAATTTGTGCAGTGATGTTCAGCCACTGACAACTGTGATTGCATTCTCTTGTGTCAATCATTGAAGGATTTTCTACTTAGTGCCATAGACCTTGTGTATATCTAGGCATATAAGTGTCATGTTCAGTTGCTCATGTTCATGTCTGAATTAAGATCTGAAGCTGAATGCTCCCTGATGCTCCAAACCAAGTGTCGCTTAATGATGACTGTGAGGGTATTGAGATGACAGTAATTTGCATGTTTTAATACTTTCATCTTTTACAACAAGCTGAGACAATATCACCTCTTGTAACCTAATTCCTCAGTCATTTTATCACAACTAAATTGTCAATTGTTTTTGAGTTGGACGATTTTATTTCAACTGGTAGAATTCAATAAAACCACTCTACAGAACCAAGATATATTAGCATTTTGTCTCTGAAGTCTGACTAAATTAATTGTATGCTGCTGTCTCTGCTCTTCAGAGGCGCATTGGAGGGAGTGTTGAGAGCTACAGTGCATTTCCCTGTTGA